AGCTATATCTGCGGGCATGCGAGCCGTTGCCCTAGCTCAGCTCCAGTGCGCATGTCTCCAGCGGAGTCTCCACGCAACCCATTTTGGATGCCAGGTAAGTACAGGGCTCGCATGGAGGCTCGAGGGGGGGCGTTTTTGGCCTCTGGAGGGCCTCCAGGCGATGGGGGAGGCCATTTTTGCCCTCCCCAGGCTCCGGGAAATCCTCTGGATCCTGGGGAGGGTGAAAAACGGACCTACCGGAGGTTTCAGGGAGGCCTGCCAGGCCCAAAACGGGGTACGGGGGGGTGGGTGTCACGCGTGCATGCATGGGGGGGGGGCATTGAATTATGAGTGTGGGCACGTGCGTGTGTGACCCGCCCCCCATGCTCCCCCCGTGTTTGGCACGTGACAGCAAAAAGGTTAGCCTTCACTGGACTAGACATACACAATTCCTGTAACTGTTCTTCATATGTTTAAGTCTCCAGACCAATGGTGAAATCCAAATTTTTTTACTACCGGTTCTGTGGGCATGGCTTGGTGTGCATGGTGTAGCTTGGTGGGCGTGGCAGGGGAAGGATACTGTAAAATCTCCATTCCCACCCCACTCTGGGGCCAGCCAGAGGTGATACTTACTGGTTCTCTGAACTACTCAAAATTTCCGCTACTGGTTCTCCGAACTGCTCCAAATTTCTGCTACTGGTTCTCCAGAACCTGTCAGAACCTGCTGGATTTCACCCCTGCTCCAGACCTCTAATCCTCTTTGTTGCTCTTCTCTGCACTCTTTCTAGAGTCTCAACATCTTTTTTACATCTGGTGGTGACCAAAATCAGATGCAGTGTTCCAAGTGTGGTCTTACCAAGGCCTTATAAAGCGGTACTAACACTTCATGTGATCTTGATTCTATCCCTCTGTTCATGCAGCCTAGCTTTTTTTGCATTGGCTTTTTTGGTGGCTGCAAAAAAGCAAGCTTATATTTAAATGGTTGTCTGCTAGGACTCCAAGACCCATCTGGCAATTACTACTATTGAGTCAGGTACAACCTATTCTATACTTGTACATTTGATTTTTCTTGCCTAAGTGTAAAACCTTTCTTTTCTCATCACTGAATTGCATTTTGTTGGATAGTGTCCAGTGTTCAAGTCTGTTCAAGTCTGTCAAGATCCTTCTGGATCTTGAGCCTAAAGTGTCTTGTCTTTAGCTTGGTGTCATTTGCAAATTTGATGAGTTCCCCTTCTATCCCTTCATCCCAATTGTTTATCAAAATGTTGAAGAGTATTGGGCCTATGACAGAACCCCACAGCTTTCATGTAAATGTACCCGTAGTTCCATTGAGGACTACACATTGAGTGTGGTTGGTCAACCAGTTACAAATCCATTTGGTGGTGATTTATTTATTTATTTATTGGTTCGATTTATATGCTGCTTTTCTCCGGAGATTCAGGGCGGCTTACAATGCGTTAAGCAATAGCCTTCATACTTTTGTATATACCTGCTTAGTATATATTGCCCCCCCCCAAAGTAGTGTTCTTTTTTATACAAAGTCAGCTTATTGTCCCCACAATCCGGGTCTTCATTTTACCTACCTCGGAAGGATGGAAGGCTGAGTCAACCTTGATGCAGTCTATCCCACGTTTTTCTAGCTTACCAAGAAGTAGTTTGTCATGTATTTGGTCAAATGCCTTACTGATGTCCAGGTATCCTATGTCCACTGCATTTCACTGGTTCACTAATTTAGTCTCTTTGCCAAAAAATGCAGTAAGATTTGTTTAGCATGAGTGTTTTTGACAAACTCATGTTGCTTCTACCGGTAGTAATAGCTTTGCTTATTCCTAGGAGTTTGCAAATCCGTTATTTATTTTTCCAGGATCTTTCCTGGTACTGATGTAGGTTCCTGGATTCATTCCCCACCCCCACCCCCCATTTTTTGAAGATTACAACCACATCAGCGTACCACCAGTACGCTGATGATACTCAGCTGTACATCTCCACCCCGGACCACCCCAATGATGCCCTTGAAGTGATGTCCCGGTGCCTGGAGGCCGTGCGGATCTGGATGGGGAGAAACAGACTCAGGCTCAACCCATCCAAGACCAAGTGGCTGTGGTTTCCGACATCCCGATATAGTCAGTTGGTGCCATCACTGACTATTGGGGGCGAGTCACTGGTCCCCACGGAGAGGGTTCGCAACTTGGGTGTCCTCCTGGACTCACGGCTGTCTTTAGAAGAGCACATGACGGCCGTGGCCAGGGGGACTTTTTATCAGGTCCGCCTGATTCGCCAGTTGCGTCCCTTTCTGGATCGGGACTCGTTAAATACGGTCACTCATGCTCTCGTTACTTCCCGCTTGGACTACTGCAATGCTCTCTACATGGGGCTCCCCTTGAGGAGCACCCGGAGGCTCCAGCTGGTCCAGAATGCGGCCGCGCGGGTGGTTATGGGAGCGACGTGGCGCTCCCATGTGACCCCCCTCCTGTGCGAGCTGCACTGGCTCCCGGTGGTCTTCCGGGTGCGCTTCAAGGTTTTGGTTACCACCTTTAGAGCGCTCCATGGCATCGGACCGGGGTATCTACGAGACCGCCTTCTGCTACCAATAGCCTCTCACCGACCAGTACGCTCCCATAGAGAGGGGCTCCTCAGGGTGCCGTCGGCCAAACAGTGTCGACTGGCGGCCCCAGGGGGAGAGCCTTCTCTGTGGGGGCACCTACCATCTGGAACAAGCTCCCCCCAGAGATACGGAAGATCCCGGACCTGCGCACGTTTCGCCGTGCTCTCAAAACTTTTCTATTTCAGCAAGCTGGCCTGGCCTAACTCCCATTTTTTAAATTTTTAAAATTTTTTAATTTGTGATTTTATAAATTGGGTGTTTTAATCTGTGTTTCGGCCGAAATATTTAATAATTTTAAGGGATTTTTTAAATATTTGTATTATCTGTATCTTATCTTGGCTGTTCACCGCTCTGAGTCCTTCGGGAGTAGGGCGGTATAGAAATTTGATTAATAAATAAATAAATAAATAAATAGATTTTCTAGTCCTCTGGTAGATATGGTTTCATATCCTTCAAAGACATTCATTGAGGAAACCTGCTGAAGCGTCATCAGCAATGTTTGAGCCCAAATAAAGTCACTGCTTTTTGCCCGTTTGGGGGGGGACAGTGGTGGTCTGCAGAAGAAATAATGACCTCGGAATCTTTATGTTCTGTTTTACAAAGCTTGTCTCTAAAGATGGAAGATCCAACTGCCTCATTGTCAGCGCCCTCTGGTGGCCATGGACGGGAAATGCTTTCACAGCTCAGCTGTTTTGACCTTCGCCTGCTGCATAAAGGCCAATTTAGTGTTGACTGTGATTACACCTAGGTGTCGCTGCATAAGGATAGGTAAGCGCAGGTTGCAGATGGCTGCAGACAGACTGACATGCACATCTCATCCCAACTGTGTGTGGTGTGTAGGTGCGCATCCTGTGTGTTGATTGGCTGAGCCGACTTCCTGTTTTTGAGGGCCCCCCTAGCCAGAATGTTACATTTGCAGAAATATAAACGGGATCCCAGTGCACCATCTCTGAAGGACGCACCCTGATGTGCAGTGCAGGAGATGTCTGCTTGACTCTTTAGCTGTGAGGGCAGGGCGGAGGGCTAAAGCAACATGCCGAGCCCCAAAGAAGCAACTGATGTTTTTTGCAACTTGGAAGAGAGCCAGCTGCAGTCCATCTCTGGAAAAGAGACAGTGCACCTTTTCCCTTTGCCTAACTTTCTGGATTCTTCCCAAAATCTAACCACAACTGTGTTCTCAGTTGCATTCCAATGTCTCTGCAGCTTCAAATTCTCTGAAAGTGCAACGCACCTGTTGGACCAAACCGGGTTCTGCTGCAGTGAAAGTAAACCTTAAGAGTTTGGAAGGCTTACTTCTAAGACAGGATGCGCCTTCTTGTCCCCATCATGTACAATGGGAGAAAGCCATAAAAATGGCACATCTTTTGTGAGCAGCAAGCCTGCCTCTTTGTTACAGCTTGTGAACTCTGGACAGCCAAGTGAAAACACAGAGCTGAGATTCAATTTAACTTAAATGATATTAACTAAATATAGTGGATAAGATGGCTCTCTAGTCACATGACTTCCCATACATTAAAAATGTCATTTTGGTATTAGCTTTTGTGGGGTGAGGGCTGGGCCAAAGTGTTCAGGATTCCTTGAACTTGCGTAGATTCCGCCTTGCTCTTTCAAATGCCCAGGTTGCCTTGGCACATCAAAAGGAACTCTTCCTGAAGATCAGATTCCATCCAGTGGAACAAAGCGCTAACGTGCAGACGAAGCAGCCACTGAAGTACCTGACTCGGAAGCAAGTAGGACGATGGGCTGCTGTGGCCACCCTTCCTGTTATGTATTGGATACATATACTGTGTTCCCTGAAAATAAGACCCTGCCTTATATTTTTTTGAACCCTGAAATAAGCGCTTGGCCTTATTGCCATGTGCTCAAAAGCCCGGTTGGGCTGATTATCAGGGGATGTCTTTTTTAGGGGGAAACAGGGTAGTTGTGTTAAGCCCTGCTAACCTTTAGATGACCCTAAGTGTTAACTTCAACTGTTTTGGAGGGAAACTTAGAACATTCATATTTGGGTGGGCTTTTTCAAGTATTATGATTGGTTGAGGCCCTGTGGGCCCAGAGTATAATTTTTTTAAAAAAATTTGATTTATATGCCGCCCTTCTCCGGAGACTCAGGGCGGCTTACAATGCGTTAAGCAATAGCCTTCATCCTTTTGTATATTTATACAAAGTCATCTTATTGCCCCCACAACTGGGTCCTCAACTTACCTACCTTAGAAAGGATGGAAGGCTGAGTCAACCTTGAATTTGCCTGTTGTTCAGCAGTTCCAGTTGAGTCAATAAATGCTGTTGTATCTATGCTGCCTGTTCTTGCCTACCGCAGCCCACAACATAATACTTCCCATCTTGCATGGCTGCAGAGGGCTTCAAATCCCTCTGCCAGCTTTGCCCCCAGTATGCCCCTACGAACACCAAGACCAGCTAGGAGGAACAGGATTTATGTTGCATACTTAAAAACCACACTGCTTGGAAAGGAAGAAGAAGAAGGAGGAGGAGAAACCAGACTTCAGGGCAGAATATGCAAGAGGCAGGCCGGCCATTGACAAAAAAGAGGAAGAGGTGAGGCAGAAGAGGACAAGGCAGGGCTCTGCTGGGAGGGGTCCACCCCCCCCTTGTGATGAAGGGCTGGCACAGCTTACATGATGCTTGCTGGAGTGAAGACGGGGGCAACACACAGAGTGTCCGTGATCTCCCAGCCACAGGAGAGGGGGGCACACGTGCTCTCCCGCTCCTCTTCTTCCGGATACAGTGATTTCCCCTGGAGGAGCTGGACGGCTTCCCTGCAGGAGAAAGGAGCCAACGGGGGTGAGATCTCCAGCTGTGAGGGGGCTGAGTTTAGAGACCCTGCTCTGCGGAAAGTGGCGGAGGCCTGACCTCTCCTTGAAGCCTTAGATGACCCTCCCAAAGGGGTGTAGTCGGGCGGGTGAGATTCTTGTAACAGAGGGGACAAACAAGAAAGCTCTTGCTCGAGACTCTTCACAAAAGCCTTTCTAGTTGCTTACACCTGACATCAACTCAGCACCTGGAAGTGGGCCAAGTGGTCATGGGGCCAGGGGACCCTTCCCACCCTGGGACTCAACAGGCGTTGAAAATATCAGGTTGCAGCAGTCTCGGCCTAAGAGGTGGATCAGATCAGAGACGGACTCTAGAACTCCATTTTACTGGGACAGGAACAGAACCCTGCTTGGTGGTTTTGGTTTGTTTGTTTCCCTTCTCCTCTCCTCTCCTCTCCTCCCCCTTCAGGGAGTTGGCATGGAGGAAAGCCAGCCGGAGCCTCTTCCCGATGCTTTCTCTCCCGTTGGACTCCATGCAGGCTTCTGCGCCTGTTGCGTACACGGCTTCTCTATCTGGTTTCTCCCAGCCATCCCTTGGGCTCCCTGCAAGTAGCCTGTAATTCTTCTGTATTTTTTCAACAACAGGGGAGTGATTCTACTATTGCAAGAATGCTCTCATTATTTCAGCATTCTGTGCGATCGCCCTGTGTAACAAAAGTGGCTCTAGCCATTTCAGGGCCAGAGCAAGATCCAGGCCAGGGTTTTCTGGTCCCTGGAGGCTTCTATTTCATAATTGGCAGCTTTGTGGGGTGGAAATGCAGGTCCTCCTCCCCCTTTCCTTCCACTCTGAAAACCGTCTTACCAGGCCACTCTGGACATAGCGTAGTAAATTGGCGTTGACGGAGATCCCTGGAAAGAGGAGGGAGCCAGCACAGTGTGGGCCCCCATGTTCTCAAAGATCAGCCAGTCCCCGACCTGCAGCTCAGGCAGTTCCAGGCCATCTGCAATTCGGTCCAACCCATCCCCAGTTGGTCCCCAGAAGCTGCTGTTGTGCAAAGGGAGATCTGGTGGGGGTTTCTGCAAAGACGAGAAAAGAACTGTAACCAGCCAGATCTTCTGGGATCCTCACAGCTACACTTCAAGATGATCTTTAAGATGACTTTCTCAAGACTGCATAGCGGTGGTGGCGAACCTTTTACTCACCGAGTACCGAACTGGTACACGCTTCGCACGCGTGCTCTCTGTGCTAATGCGCGGCTCCTCCCCTGTGTGCTGCATGCGCAACTACACTATCTGCGCATGCGTGCAGTTTTTGTGTGGCTCCCCCATGCACAATCGCACCATCTGTGCAAGCACGTGGTTTTGCCCATGCAATGCATGGGCATGAATGCTGTCTACACATGTGCTGCATGCAAGTACATGTGCAAGAGAGCTCCAAAGACCAGCTGGGTTCCCTGAATTGTGCACATGCGCACTAGAGGCCCAAACATCAGCTGGGGGGAGCGTGCATGTGCAGCTGCAAGTGAGTTGGGTGACAGCTCGCGTGCCTGGAAAGAGGACTCTGTGTGCACCTTGGGCACGCGTGTCATAGATTCGCCATCACAGCTGTATAGCAATGATTTAGAGATAGTCCTCGATTTACGACCACAACTGAGTCCAGAATTTCCAGTACTGAGCAAGATCGTTGTTAAGTAAGCTTTGTAAAATCTTTCTTGCCACAGTTATAAAGTGAATCACCGCATCTCTTGTTAAGTGAATCCGGCTTCTCCCATTGTCTTTGCTTCTCAGAAGGTCGCAAAAGGGGATCACGTGACCCCGGGATACTGCGACCGTCATAAATAGGAGTCAGTTGCCAAAGATCTGAATTTTGATCACATGATCACGTGCTGCAGTGGTTGTAAGTGTGAAAAACAGTTGTCACTTTTTTCAGTACCATTGCAACTTTGAATGGTTACTAAACGAATAGTTGTAAGTCAAGGACTATTGTATTCTGAGACATTTTATAAATTCTCAGAATCCTAAATCCTATTTGCAGAAATTTTATATATTCTTAGATATTCAGAATGTCTATGGCAGACAATTTTCAGTATTGTAATGTTAGCTACTATCCCTTTGGATGCCAATCAAGGCAGAGCCTTCCAAAATAGAGTTCAGATTCCAGGGGGATCCCCGCTCATTTTATCCCCACAAGCGCAACTTGAAGAAAGAGAGAGGGCCCAAAGTCACCCGCTGACTTCCATGGTTGTGAGTGGAACTGAACCGACGCCTCTTTGATCCCAGCCCCACATCCTCCCCAGAACACCGGGCTGGACAGTGGGGAAATCCTCTGCTGATCGCCACCGGTTTGCTGCCCACACATACGTGGTGCATGCCAGATGTGTGCCATGTGCGTGCATGTGCAGTGCGTCCCAGATGTACACTGCGTGCACACCCATGCACAGTCCACACCAATGCGCACTTGGATTTCCTGCTTTTTAAAAAACTTTTTAAAGCATAACTACCGGAGAACCGGTACTTAAAAATGCTTTAAAAGTAAAAAAAAAAAAGTTCCGAAGATCAGCTGAACGATGCGCAATCATCAGAACCTTTTTTTTATTTTTTAAATAAGGCTGGCTTCCTTATGTGACCTGCACTGTACCGAAAGCACAGGCCACTGACCTGCTGGCACACAGTCAGAAGAGAGAAGGAAATGGGGTGTCACTCAAAGCCCAGAAGGGGGAAGCCACCGCCACCACTGGGGAAGGCAAGACACAGGGAGGGAGAGCATCCAAGCGGGAGGGAACCGGACTGCAGGTCCTTCTCTGGTGCTTTGGCACTCGGGCTCCCCTTCGCTGAGAAGAGGAGGGATTTCTGTCCCTTGCTGAGTCGTGGACCTCTCCTTACCTTAGGCAGGATGGGGATGGGGCAGATGTTGCTGAAGATGACCGAGCCAAGAGAGCCGTAGACGCCATCGTTAATATGGTAGACAAAGCTCTTCTTGCCCTCAGCGTCTTCCTCTGAGGAGACCAAACGGCAGGCACAGTCAGGGAGGCCTTGGGAGATGGAGGATGGGAAGCCCCCAGCCTGGTTTGTTCTGCAAGATTGGTGGGTGGCTTCATCTTGAGCTGCAGGCCCTCCCACTTGTGGGAACCTGGACATCCAGCCCTCCCACCCTGTGGGGAGGAGGATTGAATGTCAGGGTGCCAATTCAGAATTGCACTTCCCTGCCCAGCCAGAATTGGGCAACCATTTGGGTGGATGTGGGGAGGTTGCTATGCTCCAAAGGAGAGAAGCATCAGCCCCTCCATTACAAGACCTTGCACAAATGCCTTTTTGGCATCAATTGTACCCAGGGTCATTTCTTCCTCCGCTGGGATTATTGTTCTCCACATGGAACTGACTTGGAAGCTGCAGCTGATCCAGAATGTAGTTGAGCTGGTAGTTACAGACATGCAAAAGTGCCCATGCCTGGCTTTAGCCTAAGCCAGATCAAGTGGGCACTGGGCTAGGGTGCCAATTTGGCCCCTCCTTTCCAAAACAAAGGCCACAAGAAAAACGTTTAAAGTAGGTAAAACGCACAGGTTATATGCAGCCCACTTGGCTCCTATGAATTCGGCCTGCACCCACCAGAGCCAGCACATTCCCACTCTCTCCTGTCAAGCAGGGCCGTGGAGCGTGGCACCTCTGTCACGGTGCCTGGTCAGTGAAGCAGTTTATGCCCCATATTTGGATAATCCCCGTCCTGTTGTCCCTTTTGAAAGGCCGTGGGTGTTGGGCCAGGGCGCTCAGTGAATCCGACGTTGAGCGACGGTCAAGAGGTGTTTTGGGGAAATGAACTCAATCGCTACGTTCTGTTCTGAGGTTGATGGTTTCATGATTTTTAAACTTGATTTGTTTTGAATTGGGCCACTTAATTGAATAAATAAATAAAATAAACTCTAGGTTTGCAAAGCAGCTCCTGGTAGGGCTGAGTTTCCGTTGGGTTTAGAATGGGATGGATGGAGAGGCTTCTTGATTCCCAGCTGGTCATTTCCAGCCAGGCTCCAAGAGAGGCAAAGCTAGGCAGTCCAAGGAAGGACAGGTGTGGCCCCGGGTCAAATTAGGGGCAGCGTGTCCATCCAGGATGTGGCTTGTTTCTCCTAGCCTTGGGTATTCTATGCCCCCAGTTGCTGGCTGTAAACCAGGATGGAGGGTCCCTGGGAGGGAGAAAGCCCACCTGGGCACTCTGAACCTACCGTCTGAGCCCAGCTGATCCAGAGGAACTTCCTTCTTGGCAATGATGTTAACCACCAAGGTAAAGGCCGAATGCACATAGTAGCGCCCCAGCTCGGCAAGGATCTCAACCCCACAGCCTTCAGGGAAGTAGAGGTCCAAGGCAGAGTTGATCACAGCTGCTGTCTGGAAGGGTCCGGGGGGGGGGGGGGGGGGGAGAAGAGAGGAAACCTCACCATTATACACATGGGCACCCAAAGTCCTGCTTGGACTTTGCAGCTGTTGGGAAAAGAGGCAGCTGGGGCCAGAAGGGCTGCAGACAGTCAGACACCTTTTGGTTGGTTGGTTTTCATAGCAGCATATAGCAAGTAACCTGGGAGGAGACAAGTACCTAAATAGGATGTCGGTCTGGCACAAAGCATGGAAGCCCTTCCATGCACTGCAAGGACCTAGTGATTAGTCCCTTCCTTCCTTCCTTCCTTCCTTCCTTCCTTCCTTCCTTCCTTCCTTCCTCCCTCCCTCCCTCCCTCCCTCCCTCCCTCCTTCCTCTACCCACCCACCCACTCTATCTATCTACCTACCTACCTACCTACCTATTTCTGATCTAATCTTGCCCTCTCCCAGCCCACTGTTGATTCTTAAAGAGAAACATTCACCCAATAACTCTGCAAAGGATCTCATCCCATTTCAAATAGTCCTGATCATGGCTGAGAGTCTTAGTATGGCAGGAACTGGGCCTGGCTAGTCTAGTGAAGAGAAGGACCAGGGGAGATAGGATAGCAGTCTTCCAATATTTGAGGGGCTGCCACAGAGAGGAGGAAGGGGGCCAAGCTATTTTCCAAAGCACCTTTGAAGTCCAGACAAGGAATAATGGATGGAAACTGACCAAGGAGAGATTCAACCTAGAAATAAGGAGAAATTTTCTGACAGTGAGAACAATCAACCCATGGAACAGAAGTTGCCTTCGGAAGTTGCGGGAGCTTCATCACTGGAGGCTTTCAAGAACAGACTGGACGGCCATCTGTCAGGAACGGTGTAGGGTCTCCTGCTTGGGCGGGGGGCTGGACTAGACGACCTCCAAGGTCCCTTCCAACTCTGTTAATCTGTATTTATTTATAACTGAGCCAAGCCTGCAGGCTGAGCAGCACAGCAGAAAACCCCTTGAAAGTAAAGTTTAGCCTGAGAGGCTCACTGGAGATCCCGATAGAACCCTGGTTGTGCCGGAAGACAGCGCCACCTATGGGATGTGTTTAGTGACTGAAACAACATCAATCACCTGCAAGACAGAAAACTGATGCAGAGCAAATCTGGGCCTCTTGGAAGAATTGTGTCAATGCTGGGTATGAATGTTTGTAGAATTGCTGGAAGGTTCTCAAACCTCTGGACTGCAGAGGAAGTGAGAAGCAACAAGCAGATATTTGAGTGTGCCACCTACTTGAGCCACGCCCTTCAGCGAATATTTTGATTTTTTTTCCACACACCATTCAATTCTTGACTCAACAGAAATTAGAGTGTGGCCGCCCACATCAAGGGCCCAGGGTATTCCTGGCCGGCTGAGAGGTCTTTGGAGCCCTCAATGTGCTCCCAAAGCAAGATTCAAGCCTGAGGACTCCTACCTCTTCAAAGTGCCTCCTAGACTCTTCAGCACTGGGAAGTCCTCCTCCAATGTCCAGGAGATGTATCTTGTAGCCTAGCTCTGCACCCATTTCCACGACCAGGCGAGCGTCTGCTATGGATTGGGCGAAGATCTGAGGGTCAATGCAGCTGCTTCCAATGTGAAAGCTAGAACGGAAAGCAGATGAATTACCTGTGAACACTTATATCTAGAAGACTTACTCAGTGAATTTGTGGGGCGCACTGCTAAAACTGCCCTCTGCCTGACTGGGAGCAACTTCTATGGGTCACCACCCAGATATTGCTTGCTCCCAGGTAATTCGGGTCCCCACCCCAGTCTCATCCATGGTTTTCTTTCTTTGGTCAGAGAAAAGCACTATGGAACACTGTCCTCCCATGTCTCCTCCTGAGTATTCCACTCTATATGCCCACACAAAGGCTTCACGGTGGGTGCTGTTAGGTGTTTCTGGGTGCTGCCCTGGGCTCAGTCTTTTAAGCAGGTATTGCTAGCCCAACGACCCCAGGCACCGAGACCTCCAGCAAAAGGTGAAGGAAGAGGGACCACTAAGAAAGTGCACAGAGGAGGGACCAGGGAGAGTTGGCAACTGGCACGAGAAAATGATCTCTGCCCCTACCTGATGCCCACCACCTCGATGTTCATCTGCTTGGCAATCTCGAGGAGATGTCGGCAGGTTTTAAGGGTGGCACCAAATTTCACACTCAGATGATTGGCACATCTGGAGTCATCAGTGGCCAGCTGCAGAATCATTCTGGGGAATGGGAAGAACAGGTTTCTTTGGTTACAGTTAACAACTGTGCTTTACCTTCTATTTTCATGATGCAACTATGCATCCTGAGGTCATTGTGCACGTATGCAAATGACACGGATAAGGTCATTTTTAAATGATGCACACCATCTCTCCCTCTCTCATGCAAACAAATAAACACTGTCAGCCCTCCGAGGCAATCAAACTAGGAAACCAAAGTCATGCAAGCTGATATTATGTTTATTATCAGGTTATAGTCACAGAATCTTAATGCGCTCTTCCTCCTCCCTCCTTATCTTCTTGAGATCTAGGGAGGGTCTTCTCTGAGATGCTGCCTCAGACTACAATTCTGCCCTGGACTCAGATGTCTTTTATCTGACCGTTGTCTTGGCTGCGGCTCTTCCTCCTGTCCCGCAAGGTCATTCCTCCTGCTCATTACACACATAACTTTTCTTCAACTACTGTTTATTGCAAAAGAATCTGACTGTTGGCTGGATTTGCGGAACGCGCTAAAACCAGGGAGGTCCTGGGGGTAACATTCAATATTTTAAGAGCAAGAAAATGGTTGCTGTGGAACCAGTCAGGACGTCTTTCGTTTATTGAAGAGCAGTAGAAGTGGTGAGGTTGCTTCGTTCCACCCAAAGGACTCACAAATGAACAGACTCTTAAGACAGCCTGTTCCACTGCTGAGCAGCTCTTCCTCTTAGGAGAATTCCACCCCATTGTCCAACTGACATTTCTTTCCTCGTAATTTGAGAGGTTGTTTCTTGTCTTCTCCAGCAACTCTGAAAATTCAGAGAGCAGGCAGGAGAAGTTGCTGCAGGTCTGGCAGGACCCTGGAAGGGGGCTTTTTCTCCTGTACCTCCCCACCCCCACCCCACCCTCTGGAATCTCATTACACACACACGAACACAAGATCTTAAAGACCTTTTGCCATCAAGCTGGGGCCCTAATGGTGTGGATAAGCCTGTTTATCAGTTACCTTAATTGAGATGATTATTAGTGCTGTTGTGGGTTGGTTTTTCAACAGCTATCTATGTTATTTATTATGTTATTCATGGTTTTAATTCTGATTTTCATGGCCCAAAGTCATGTACTCAAGATGGGCAGCCATATCAATTTAAACAATAAATACTGTAAAATTCTTCCATGTATTCTTCCATGTGACAATTTGTCAAAAATTTGAAGGCAGATATATCTATTTCCAAAGGTGCTTTTTCAAGAGGCAACTGGACTTTCTGGTTTTTCTTTGAAGACGTGTCATTTCTCATCCAAGAAGCTTCTTCAACTCTAGCTGGATGGTGGGGAATGGAAGAATTCATACTTCCATTATGCTTCTATAGCAGTGATGGCAAACCTTTTCGGCACCAAGTGCCCAAACTGGAATGCACGCTGGCCAGAGAGAGGGCGTAGGTTCATCAACACGATTCTATAGTATAAATCCTTCCATTCTGCACCATCCAGTCAGAGCTGAAGAAGCTTCTTGGGTGAGAAGTGAAACATCTTCAAAGAAAAACCAGAAAGTCCAGTTGCCTCTTGAAAAAAGCACCTTTGGGACAACCATGACCTGGATGACTGAGAATCTCCATAGACATACCTACTTCCACTTTTTTTCTCTAGGCTAGCCATGCCTCTTTTCTCCAATCGCTCCTATTAGATTCTTTATCACCTTGGTTGCTTAACCCAAAAAACGAATCCAGTCAACTGAAGTTCCTAGTAACAACCATCTCCAGATGGGCACTGAAATTTTATTATCATCACACACTTACCAGTAACTTAGCTGGTTAAAGCCTTGAAGCTACATTCACATTATAATGCTAAATTGGATTAGTTTTAATGTTGCTTAGTATTTTTCTGGTTTGGTGTGTTTTGCAAATCCAGCTTTAGTTTACTGTTGATGGAAAGCATGTGTGAACCTTGAATGGGTAATTCAGTAATGAAGTTACACATGTGCAAACCCAGCCAGAAAATATCTCTTCTGATTTAATTCTGAATTTTATTCACTGATTTAATTTGCTGATGAATGTGCACCTTTCCAAGTTGTGCTGAGGTGACCTGCTGGTCCATCAATTGGTCAACCACATTTAATGTTGTTAATGTTATCAGCCCAAATTATGGTGGTTTAGTGCATGGTGCTGCCCCCAGAATACAGGCTGAGCTACCCCTGGACCCTGGAAAGCCAGTTTGCAAATGCAGAATCTTCCCAGCACTTCCTCATCGATCCCAACTTGAGCAGGAGACAATGGGATTCCAGAGAGGAAACAAGTACGGGGAAGAATGAATTGCTGCATATTTGTAATCGTTCACACTATATCAAAAGACAGAGGAAGAAAATTGAGTTTGTACTGTGAGAATTTCAAAATATGGTATGGGTTCTCCTGCTTGAGCAAGGGGCTGGACTAGAAGACCTCCAAGGTCCCTTCCAGCTCTATTCTAATCTAATCAAATACCTGGTTGTGTTGACACATGATACACCCCCCCCCCCCCGTGGCTAACTAAACCCTGGTTTAGTTAATTAATCCAGTTACCTATATTCAGTGGCAAAGATGGCCTAATGCCCTAAGACAGTAACTAATCTTTCCATTTGGGGCTTCAGTGCTCCTGGCTCTATCTAATTCCCTGTACCTTTTCCACTGCTTTTCCTTGAACTGAACAGAAAATGAAACACATTTTGAAGAGACTATTTGTAGAACGCTCCCAGCTTCTTTAAAGCCAGCCAGGAGGAATAAAGCCTCTTCTCTCCTACCAGAAACTCTTTCTAGGAGGCCTACAGCTCTTGAGGTCTTCTTGTTTGGTACCCAGTTATGACTGACAAGACTTCTCCCCCGTTTTTTGCAGCTGCCTGTTCCTGAACAATGTGCACAGATGCCGCTGGCCTACCTGGCGGACGGGTACCTCCGCGCTACTTTCCCAAGCTCCACTTCATTGTCAAAAGTCATCAGCTGCACCCCTTGGCTGGCCGCATATCGGATCAGGGAGACCTGCTTGCAGGCGCCGGCACAGATGACCCTCTCCGGTGGAACTCCAGCACTCTTCACCAGGGCCATCTCTGTCTGGGGGGTGACAACCAGAGAAGGTAAAGGGACTTGGTCCCCTAAACCTGGGGCAGGGGGTGATGGGGCCATACCAAGGCCAGGCACTGACCCCCAAACTCCTGCATCCTGTGAAACCCCACTGGAGAGAGGCAATTGTCAAGGATTCAAGTCACCCTGCCTGATATGCTAACCTTAAGGGGCCAAAGGTCCAGAAAGCCAATGGTGGGCTTGAGAGCCAAACGCCCATGGGACTTTGTTTTTCTTTCTTGTTGTTCTCACTGCACGTGTTTCCTTGTGGGAAGTCCCTTGGCTTGCTCAGCTCTATTACCCACCCAAATGGGGCTAGCATGGGCACTTAATAAATGGGGCAGCTGTTACTCACTTAACTACCATGATAAAAAGGTCAAAAGATCAGGCACGGCTCACTTGAAACCACCACCTTGCTCAGCAATGGAAAGTCTGATCCCAGTTGCAGTCATAAGTCGAGGAATATCTGTAATGCCTTCCAGTCAGGGTCACTTTGCAGGTAGAAACTGGTCCCTCCTTGTTTATGAGGAGCCTCTTCCCCAATCAGCAGATCTGATAATACTAATTGAATTGATTGAATTCAGTCTGTCTAATATCTGTGTATATTTACCCATGCAGTATGACTGAAATATTATTGATTATCCTTGTTATCTTCCCTATTCCTTCTCTTACTGGAATTATGATTATGATTATTCTGCTGCTTTGCATGTACACTAAGAGCTTCTGCACCAGAGACGAATTGTTTGTGTGTGTAATCACACTTCGCCAATTCAATTCAACTTCCATCTTAATTACCATCAGGGTTTTTTCTGCCTTCCGAGGCCTTTCTTGGCACACTGATCTTTCAACCCTTTTAAAAAAAATATTACATACATCTCACTGATGCGTATTGATCCTGAACCTTTTCTTAAAGGAAACATTTCAGGCATAGTTTGCAAAACCTTTGAGTTTGCCATTAAGTGAATCACATGAATCCAGCTGCCCCGTTTACTTTGTCATCAGGTGATCCTGGGGCCCTGCGGCCATCATGAATACATGCTGGCTGCCAAGCACCCAAGGTCTGATCTTGTGACTGTGAGGACGCTGTGAGAATTGTAAGTGGGAGGACTGGGTCTGCTCTATATGTTACATGTTTCAGCGCTGTTGTAATCTCGAACAGTTGCTAAATGAATGGTTATAAACCGAGGACTGGCAGCAGCCAGCCTGTCTTATCAAGATCCCTGGCAGGATGAGACTAACGTTCACATCTGCTTTTCTTTCCGTGTACATAAGTGTTGATCTGGTGCAAGAGAGCTCCACAACTCTGGGGGGTCCTGCCTGGGCTGGAAAGGGCAACGGCACCCTCTCTCCTTTTCTGTGGGGCACCCAGAGGACGTCCAAAGGGGCTTCTTTTGAAAAGGCAACTGAACTTCCTTTGTTTTTCCTTGAAGACATTTCGCTTCTCAAACAGGAAGCTTCTTCAGTCGGGGTTCCTGGGTTCGTGTGGTTCAGTGTGACTGCAACGCTGCCTCTGGGCCTTCTTGCCTGCACCCTGCAGAGCCCCCCCCCCGCCCCCATGTCTCCAGGGACCATCCCACCCCACCTTGTTGGCGCAGCTGAATCCGGCCCCCAGCCCTGCCAGCATCTGCACCACGCCCCTGCTGCTGTTGCACTTCAAGGGGTAGACGGGCTTGACCCGTGGCAGGGCCTTGAGGAGACGCACGTGCTTCTTCACCACATCCTCGAGATTTGCCACAAAAAAGGCTTCTCGGCTACCCTGGAGAGGAAGAAGCACAATCAGCACCAATGCACACTGATCTCTTTTGCACCCAGCTCTCCCGGGCCCTCCCCACCTCCATAAAGATTGGAGTCGTGGTACTTCCCTTCAGACACCATATCCCCCATGTCCCCGGCCAGCTCCAGAAGGATGTTAGTTTGGTCATCATGGCCTGTCTTAGGAGTCTCACAAGTTAGTTGCAAACACAAGCAGAAGACTGTCCTTCCACTTTTGGGAGGGGGGGGGTTTCACTAACTTTGGCTGCACAGATTCTACAATGGAAGAGCTGAATTCTGTGCACATTGTGGAGTCTTATCAAAGGATAAGATTCCAAATGGCTCAGGCACACTTGCCAATGGGCAGTCCCCATCCTGGAATGATATACATCTCTCCCCCCCCACACACACACACACTCCCTCCATCCTCAGTGCCTGGAAAGCCAACTGCCTTGGTCCTCACCGTCTGGGCAACCTTGAGGAGGAGGCTCTCCAGGAGATCCCTAGTGGTGAAGCCCTCCTCCACCATCATGACATCCGATTCATCCAGGTACCTGGTCATTGTTACCACCAAAGGAGGATCTTTCTTTGAAAGCCTCCGTCAATAGGGGGGATAGTTTTTAAGTATGCAACACACTGTGGAGGGAAAGAGACAACATCAGGAAGCTCCTTCTCGACCATCTGCGATGGCAAACAGCTACTTCACAGCAGTGGTTCTTCTGCCAGGTGCTGGATGGTTTAAGCAGGAAGATTAGAAAAGGTTCCCCTTCCTGAACCTGGCAGGAGATCACCAAGGCTCCTGGATCTCTTTCTCCAACCTACCTGATGCACAGGATGGCAAAATATTTCAGGTTGGAAAAGGTGTCCATAAAGTCTGAAGATCTATTGGCCAACTATTATGCTGAGGGTTTTTGAAAGCTTATACCTTTTAATAAAATTAGTTACCGGTAGTTGGAAAAGGTGCCAGCAGGCTCCCAATCAACATTGTACAGGTAAGGACCTTTCAGTGACTACTCTGATGCCTGGGTGCAGACTGTGATTTTACTAGTGCAGCAGATGAGGCTGACCTGAAACTAGGTCAGTGTACTTGCAGCATCTGTTCTGCTTTTACGTCCTCTGATCAAGTCCAGATGGTGACAACTTTGCCTTGCTTGCTGAAGTGCAAAATGCCAGCGTGCTGCTTTCTCCCACACCTATAAAGAGGATAAATGTGGCCGAACGCTTTGCACATTGCCTGCCCTTTTGTTTAACGTAGCTTTCTTAAGTTGGATGGCAGGGTCAACAACGAGCCCCGTTGGCCCACTAAAGTCAGTCACTTTGCTCCAGAAGCTTCTTAGAAGAAGATAACGGGGTGGGGGAAAGTTTGTAATTGCACACAAAAGGAGTGATTTTGCAGAAAGCAACATCCCAGGTTTGTCCTCAGATATAAGTGCTTCATCTCTAACCCTGTGCCCTCTGATAGCCATTGGGTAAATGCACAACCCTTCCCATGGCACCCAACCATGGCCATCTTGCAGCCTTTGGGACACAGTAATTGCCGATTGGCAGCCTTCTGTTGTTTATGATTAATGTGTGTAAAATAAAGGGTTGTGGAAAAACTTGGATCGAGGCAGAACTCTTGGCGAAGTGATAAATTGTGAGGGTAACTTAGAATGTGACTCTGGAGTAAGAATGCCCATGCTCCTGGCATCTGATGTGTGTGTGTGTGTGTGTGTGTCCCTATTTTTTACTGATGAACTATTGGACAGGAATAGATCTGCCTTACTCATGAAAGCCAGCTGGGTGGCTTTGGGCCAGTCGCTCACTCTCAGACCAACCTACCTCAGAGGGTTGTTGTTGTGGGGAAAGTGGGAGGAGGAAGGAGTGTTGGATATATTTGCCATCTTGACTTATTTGTAAAAAATAATAAAGACGGGATACAAATAAAATAAAATAAAAAATAGAAATAAATGGTCACCCAAGTGAAGGTTCAGAAAACATTCTAGAAGCAAGGACGTTGGTTCTGACTTCCTGGTTTTTGCTCCAGCAGATACAAAAAGGGAGAAAGAAAAATCGGTGCCCTGTTTGTTTCATGTCTTGGGAAGCATCGAAGGAACCCCTGACGGGGAGAGGAGCTGCCTAAATTGAGGGGAGAATTTGGGATTGCATGACCAGGAAGGGATTCCGCAGAGAGAAAGGGCCCCCTGAGACTGAGCATCATCTCATCAAGCCTCAGTTCATTCGGAGGACAAATCCTGTTCCCAGACCAGCCCTTAGTCATTTGTGGAAATTCCCATTCCATCCATCCGCCCTCCCACCCATACCAAGCCTGGAAGAAGAAAACTTAGTAGGGATTTAAATGGGATAACCAATTGGATAAAAGTTGTCTGAGAAAGTGCATGTTTGTATTTGTTTGTGTGCATCTTTACTGTCCTTTTAATACTGATGATATTTCTTTTTTAAAAGTGAGCTTTTGTGAGATTCTTTCCAGTGCAGGCCTCAATTTGCCTCCCTGGCCAGTCTCTCTTGCGTATCCCCCCACATGTCAGACAGAGAAGGTGGGGTGTTAACCCATATTAAAGCATTTCATGGGTCAGGGAAGCACATGCTGGGGGAGGGTAGGATGCTTCCCCTTCCCCTCCCTGTCCCCCCACTAGTCCTTGCCGGGGGGGGCGGGGGGCTCACCGTCCCGAAGCCTTCCTCCTTCCCAGGTGGCTAGGTGTAATGCCAGGGGGGTTCTCCGGTGAACTCTGAGCTTCTGCAACACCCCGAGGCGCAGTTGCTGCTGGGGATCCGAGGTCTCTGCAGAGGGGCAGACGGGAGACGGGCAGGAGGATCAGAACCCTGCAAGTTCCTTCTCCCCTAATCCACAGCCCAAGCCTTCCCTCAGGCCTACTCCTCGGCCTCTCTCCTCCCTTCCACCCACCTTAAAAAGCATTTAAACGGATTTTGCCCATGGGTCTCCCAAGAGTAAATATAGGCTTCGGCAGTGGCTCCTCCTCCTCCTCCTCCTCCAAAGCCTACACCATGCAAAGCAGCACCAGCTAATCTTCAGCTCTGGGTAGATGCTGGTCCCTTATACATTGCCGCCCCTCCCCCCCCCGCATCTCTGCTCACAAGAGTCACCATGGTGACCAAGCCCAGCAATCCAATTGGCTGAGGGGGAAGAAACAAAGCACGAGTGATGGAGAGATGCTGAACTGATGGTCCAGGGGCTGGAAAGGGAGAGGCCACAGTGGCTTCCGGCTGATGTGGGGAAGACTTCCTTGGGGGTGGAAGTGGGTCCCCAAATGTGTTGCCCTCTGCCAGGAGAAGCAGTTGCAGATCAGAGGTATTCCTGAGGAAGAGGACTTATTTATTTATTTATTGGTTTGATTTATATGCCGTCCTTCTCCAGAGACTCAGGGTGGCTTACAATGCATTAAGCAATAGCCTTCATACTTTTGTATATACCTGCTTAGTAGGGCTTTCAGCCCCCCCCCCCAAGCGGTGTTCTTTTTTATACAAAGTCAGCTTATTGCCCGCACAATCCGGGTCCTCATTTTACCTATCTCAGAAGGATGGAAGGCTGAGTCAACCTTGCGCCTGGTGAGATTTAAACTTGCAGTAATTGCAGGCAGCTGGTGCTACGTAAGAGCACTTTAGTCTGCTGCACCACCAAGGTTCCTATTTACAGTCAGCTGGACAACTGCCACCCTCCTGGCACAGGATATGTCCAGACAAAGAGTTTAAGGGCTTTTTATACATATCTGCATTCCGTTACACAGGCATATTAAAATGGAATTTTTTATGTGGATTTTATATGGCCACTTTCTCTTTCTTACTACTTATATGCCTTTTTCGCCTTCTACCTACAGTAATGTCAGGTTCTGCACAAGCATGTTTTCAAAAGGAAAAAGCCATTGTTATGTAAGGTGGTTGAGTGCAGCTCAGAATCTGATAAATCCCAATGAGTCTCTGAAGACGAGGCCACTGATATTCAGCTTTATTATTGATCAAGATTAAAGCCGGGCATTTTATTTTAATCACCCGCTCTTTTAAACAGAGCAGGCAGAGAGAGAAAAAGCAAAAGCTGCGTGCAAAAACTTCTTCTCAAACTTCTTATAGTTTACACAGCTTGCACAGATCGTCAGAGTGTTAGAAACATAATTTCATATCCATTAGTTAATGCAAACCTCATGATTTTCTCAACACTTTGAAACAAAGGACCTCAGAAAGGAGGAAAAGAATAGATTTTCTGGCTTATAGGCCAAAGCTTTGTAAGGGGGTGCTAACTCACATTAGGTTGCTGAGAATATACATTTTAAGTTACTTTGCTAGGCTACTCGGCAATTAGACTGGAAGCTTTTTATCTTTGAAGTTGACACATTAGGTTACAATGGAGCTTCTCTCAGCAGCAATAACAAAAGCTGAGTTAGGTTACACTCTGTGTATGCTCTAATGCCTTCATTTAAAAGAGAAGAAAAAAGCAACAAAACCTAAACGCTTTGCTTTCACTTCAGAAGGACCCAGGCCAGCAGTACAGTGGAAAAGAGGAATTTTACAAACTGCTCTTCCTAGTTGTCTTCTTGTGTTGACCAGTTGTCAACACAAGAAGACAGAACCCTTTACCTAGGCACAGACCCACACCCATGTCCACAACTGGATTCTGCTGGGCAGAGGCCCCTATGATTAAGGAATCAGCCGCAGCTGGCCTTCCTCTCCCAGGCACTCTGGCCATCCTCAGAAGCAACCTTGCCAAGAGTAGTGAGGCAAGGCTCATGGAGATGCAAAGATTTACTTAAGGTTTGGGGATCCCTTCAGAAGCAGATTTCCCCATTTGGCTCTTTTACTACCAGGGAAAACCACCATGCTTCTCCCCAATCATGTCTGCCACTTTGATTTTATATATAGTGAGAGTGATATCACTGGAGAACAAAAATTTTGCTTCCTGAACAGTTTTGTGTGTGTGTTACTGATTTTTGGCTGCTAATCATGAAAATAACCTGCAATTGTAACCTGGATTTCTAGGTGAGACAGCTCCCTGGGAGAAAGGCCTGGCAGCCCCCTGCAAGCCAAATGTTTGGGGGATCGAGAGGAGGCTTTGGCACAGAGGGCAAGTGCCACCTGTCCTGGAGATAAAAATAAAATAAAATAAATCTAGCAGGTTCCTAAACGGAGGAAAAACATTCCAGTCCAAAACCTGAACTGTTGCAAGTCAGAACAGTTTATTTGTCTGCAGATAATCTACAATCTTTCTATGCTAGTGGTTCTATGCGTCTCTTCACTTCTACTGCATTTCACCCAGAACCTCTCTCAACCCTGAAGCTGGCCTAACTGTGGCCATTTTCTTTTCTGTAGCTTTCCTCTAAGGAGGTTTCTCTGGGCATTGCTTCAGGGCTGACACAGCCTGGAGCTAAGGGGCAGGGAAGGGATGTAGATAACTGGGGGCTTGTAGCCAAAATAAAATTCTTTCCCCTGGGAACCAAGGACGTTCATGCAGGTGTTTGAGAGGTGGGGACTGATGTCACCTAGCAACTGGACTATATGCTGATTGGACCATGTGATTGGTGACTTTGGGGGTGGGGGAGTGACAAAGTTTTACTTTTAATTGGGTGTAAAGCCAGCGGGAACTTAGAGTCGATTTTCCACCAAGTTTATGCCAATATGATATATCCCAATAAAATGTTCTTTGAGGAATATGCCTGCCTCGGAGTTCTCATTGTTGGAGATGTACCGTATTAGATGCACCTTTCCCCCCCAAAAAAGAGGGTGAAAATCTGGGTGCATCTTATACACCAAATGTAGTCCTGCCCACCCGCTGGCCCCCACCCTTCACAAGTTTTCAGCCTCTGTGTCGCATTTTCCGATGGTTCCAGGTGGCAGGGATCCTCACTTCACTGAGATTTTGATAACGAGTTGCACAGATCTTTTTATCCGTTTAAAACAAACCCTATCACTCTACATGCTTTTACCTGGAGTGGGGTAGGGGGATGATTTTCACGGGGGCAGAAGAGGGACTTGGCACTGAAGGCTCCACTTTTGAGATGCCCCCATCTTCCTACCTATAGCCGTAGGCATTGAAAGCCTGGCTTTCTCACAAGGAATCGGGGAGGAAAATGCCGGAAAACACGATGCATGGAGGCAATGCTCTTTTTCCTCCCCGATGCAATTCGCGGAGCCTTGCCTTACTCCCCCTGTGCTGCCACCTGAACACACTTTCCTCCCCGATTCCAAAAACAGGGTGTGCGGAAGCAAAGAAAGAGCATTGCGTTTCCGGGAAGTTCCCGGTGGCGGATTTCGTGGCAATGGTGTTTTCGGGTGGCAGTGCCTTGCCTGGCACCTCCTGTGCAGTGCCCGCTTCGCCAACCGAGTCCCGACCTCTGTACTTCACCGGGCCACTTTCGGAATCGGGCTCTGACCGAGGCAGCAAAGGCGCAGGGGCTTCCTGGGAAGCCCAGCACAGGGTTTATGAGATGGCAGCGTCCAGGAGCACTGAAGTGGCCTTGCTGCGAGAAAGTCAGGCTTTCAACGCCTACGGCTATAGGTAGGAAGACGGGGGCATCTCAAGAGTGGAGCCTTCAGTGCCCTCTTCTGCCCCCGTGAAAATCATCCCCCACCCCACCCCCTCCAGTTAATTGCGCGTAGAGTGATAGAGTCTGTTTTAAACAGATAAAACGATCTGTGCTGCTTGTTATCAAAATCCGAAGTGGAAGTGAGGATGCTGCTGATCCTGATGCTGGTAGGCAGAGGCAGAATTCTTTTTTTCTTGTTTTCCTCCCCAAAAATTAAGGTGCATCTTATACTCCAAAAAATACGGTATTATTTGGAATCTTGACAATCTCTTTATCTGAGTGGGGGCCTTCGTTTATCCCACCTTTTTTCCCAGGCGCTAAACACCGCACTCTCTTCTCCAATTTTTCCCAGGCAGCAACTCTGCAAAGAGGCACAGATGAAGAGGCACCGAGTGGCCAAAGTTGGGGTGGCATTTAGACTCCCCTTCCCATGCTCCTTAACCAGCACATCAGAGGGCTCTCTTGGACTGACTTCATTGGAACCATTGTCTGCCATGGCGAAGTCTAAGGAGATGGAAACGGGAGTTGCTCTCTGAGGCTCAGCTCAGCTACGGGATGGCTGATTTGCACCCTCAGCCTCCTCCTCCCTCCCTCCTAGGCTGGATACCTGGTGGATTGTTCAACCTTCCTATGTTTCCTGTTATTTTATTGCTTTGTCTAGGCAAATTTATAATTTGCACCAAGTCTGACAGTTATTGGTCAGATTAGGAATGAGGGTGATAATAATAAAAATAATCTACATGCATAAATAATACTCAGAGTAGCCATGTTCTAAGCCTGGACAGGCTTTCTGTTCCCATTAATTTGTTTCATATATCTCAACTGGACAATACAAAGTCATAGGAAATCAGGTGGTTGTATAAAAAGCACACCTGCCAGGACAGACCGGCTCTAAGGCAGCAGTTCTCAAACTCTAGCAATGACCCTCAAAGGGAAAATAGTATAGCCTTTATTGTCATTGTACATCATATATACAACAAAATTGGTTTTAGCCTCACTGGTGCAATGCATGCCAAAAAATACAAACAACATAAATAGTATAAAGAATAATCCCTATACAAGTAATTAGTGGGGGGGGGGGAGAGAAAAAGAAAGAAAAAGAAAAACTAATCATATGTTCCTGCGTGTGCATGGAGTGATTGTGGTTGTGTTTAAGAGTCTGACAGCTCAAGGATAGAAACTAATTTTAAACCTATTTGTTTGGCTGGCTATGCTTCGATGTCTTCTGCCCGATGGTAGAAGTGCGAAGAGACACTGACCAGGGTGTGAATCATCTCTGAGTATCTTTCTTAGTCTGCTAAAGCAGCGAGACCTGACGATGTCATCCAGTGGTGTGAAGAGGGCAACCGATGGTTTCTTGTGCCGAATTGATCACTCTCTGTAATGCCTTCCTGTCCACAGCAGTTTAACCAGGGTACCATACAGTAATGCAGTAGGCGAGGACACTTTCTATCGTGGACCAATAGAAAGAGGTAATCAGCCGTTGTTGTTCCACCTGAATTTTTCGCAGGACTCTAAGGAAATGAAG